CAGTAACTAGATTATGTATATCTATATTCCTCTTATTATAATCTTTATTTTGACTTACTATTTTTAAATTATACTCAGTTTATTAATTGATCTCCCATGTTCACAGCCACTTTTGACTAGATATTTTACAAATCTTATTTCCTATTTTATGGTTTGGTATGGTCTGTTTTGCTGGGATATAAACCAAATATGTTTGAAATGAATGATTCCCATAATGGGAGCTGCTGTTGGCGTTCTGGAATCAACTGAACAGACTACGAGAACAAAGGACCAATAAGGATGCTAGGCTGCTCATACCAGTCGAACGTCATTGGCTTAGCACAGTACTAAGCTTTAATAAGTCGTATTTCCGTTGGCAAATATATCACGTGGTATTTAGCCGGACTTAAAGTCACGACAACCACTGAAAACCTGGAAGCACTGGATGGCCAATTTTTTCTAGTATGCGACTCCTCATCAGTACGTATCCATGATCCCCATACTGATAACAATCATATGCTCATTAGTGACTAGCTTTGAGATGGATTTCTTGGGTTGTAGTGAGAAGCCATGGCCAGTGTAGTCCAATGTCTGTTGGGTGTGAGGCAGTTATCTACATCGGACAATGGATAAACGGTTGCGCAAGATCATGAATACCAGCTCAGTGGTCTACAAGTTAAGAGCTTGAGTTTCAGTTTCACGTGTGGGATCGTGGATGCGCACTGCTGAAGAGTCCGTACCAGGACGAAACGGCCGCCTAGAGCTTCCAGGTGGTCTAGCTTAGATCAATTCGTGAGTTTATATATATTAACTTATCGACTTTCGATGATAATAATGATTAAAAAATGTACTTAATGGTTGTAAAGAATTTTAGATAATTTTACACTTAATTTAAAACGTGTGATATTTATTATTAGTATTATTACTGTAAAGTACTTTTATTTTCTGTCTAGCATCTTTTTATTAACTTCTTATGTTTACTGCATTTCTGATACGGAAGGTAAACGACAATTATACTATGATTGTAGTTTAAGAGCTGAAGAATAACTAAAATATACTACTCGTAATATTATTAGTAATATTTACAAGATTCAGAAACTAAAACTTACGAAAAGCAAAAAAGATTCAATGAAATATGATACGGTTTGTCTTAGTGTTCTTAATTAGTTGAAAGCATACAATAGATGTAAAAACCAGATTAGAATATGGAATAAGTAATAATTTTAACCCTTCAGCCCCACCCCATCTGTAAAATAAAGTCGGATTTATTTTTCTCTAAAACGCATAATTCATAGACAATTTTTAGCTTTTCATTCAATTTAACTTATTGATTACTGATAACTATAAATAGTTATTCATAATGGCTTTCTCGGACTACGAAGAACTAAAAAGCATCGTCAGTGATATGATTTATTTTCAGTTAACATGGTCGCTTAGTTCTATAATGATCGTATGTACATCAATGTTTAATAATGTGGTGATTTTTCTAGGTATAGTGCTATTGGTGAATAGTGTTGTAAGTTACCATGAATAAATAGTCAGGACAACACTTTAGAACCATATGTCTTGTAATTTAACACTTTTCAGCAAGGAACATTTAAAACCTCGTACGAATCACTGGATTGAAGCACTGGTTACTCAGTCTAACAATCTAAAATTCTATGAATGGTCTGTTTAGGTATTTCATGACATTGGTCACTACTCATTGGTCGATTAGTTGTTTATATGTCATTCTTATAAGTGGTTATTTGAGGACCGGAGAGCTCAATAGTAATGTCCTGGATTAAGAAACCAGTTTACACGAAAGCAATATCAACGGGTGCACCAGTTCCCTGAAGATTACAAGTACACTTTTCTGACAAATCGCAAATAACATAAAAACCAGGTTCAAGATTTCCTGTTTACTTTCTCCAACCACCTTACAGTGCATACAATGTTCATTTACTTAGATTAGTTACTGCAATACGGTTAGATTGATAGGATCAAATCAGAACTAAAGACTAAATGAATATAACCACGAGTCTGACGTACAGATCAATAGATGTAAATTATCTCTAAAGTTATTTTGTGATTATTTGATTTCCAATAATCCTCTAAGAATTATCAGTGATAAAACTATTAAAATTAAGATGATAAATGATGTTTTTGGGTCTAAATGTTAAGGTTGTGTAAAAGCAATAAGTATAGTAGTACAGTTTTAGCCTTTTTTAAATGGTTTAATGACTGTGTTCATGAATAAAGATGATGTTAATGTAATTCGCTATTTTTGTTAATGTCCTTATATTTACACTTCAAGTTATTTTGTAATAATTCATAATTTTCAATTTAAATAGTTTCACACGCACACACACAAGATGATAATGTTTATTCAGTTATTGAATTCTTCTCAATAGAATATACAGTTCTCAAAGATGTATCTACTTTGGAAATATAACAGAAATAGGTTTATCGTTATTTCTACAACTTGAACTTAATACTTTGTATTTTGTGTGGTAAAGGAAGTGTGGTACGTGCTACTTATATTGACATAAGTAGTATATAACGCGAGTCAGGAATGTAATGTCTGGCAGCAGAAGACAAGGGAAGAGCAAGAAAGAAAGAACGGGAATAGAAAGTAATTATGGAAATGCAAGAACAAAGAAGTTCGAGACAATTATTGACCATTTTGCAAATTAAGTATTATAGTATGGATTTTGTATTTTACCAAGTAACTCTATAATTTTGTGTTAAATATAATTCGATTGTCCCAACCCGTGTTCTGTTCACTACAGAATTAAGTAGTTATAAGTTATTTCTGTTCAGTATTCAAGAAAAAAAACAAATTGAATGTTCAACTTACATCTTATCGATTTGTTAGTTTAGTGGTGATATCTTGTAATATTTTACTAAATGGAAAAAGTCTACAACTTTTCAGATCCATTCGTTTCTTTGGTGTTATTAACATATATCAATAATTTAGAATAGATGGATTTTGGCTAACAATGGAATACATTACTGTCACTTCTTACTATTTGGGACATGTCAGTTTAATGTACCTGAATTTTAGTGTTACTGTTGAACTTTAAAACTCGAACTTAGTACCTTTCGCTTTTAACACTACCATGTTATTCACTGAGTTACTGAGTTCAGATTCCTGCTAACTTTCCTAGCAATGGTCTTATTTATATTATCATTCGAAATGGTTTTAAATTATTATGGACATGAAAAACCAGATAAATCAAAACCCTTGCTAATAGTATTATGTATTGTTATTGTTCAGTCAATGGTATATCAGGGTTTCTTTTCGACTGGCACTATTTATTTAGGTACAAAAGTACATGCACAATAAATTTTATTCCAGCTAACTTAGTAACCATATCCAATTCAATAACCGACAGAGTTTGATTATTATCTAGAATTCTAACCATGTATTTATTTAACAGGATATGTCATTTTACTGTGTTTGAAATTAATTAAAACTTGTTTAAAGAATGTAATGGTTTTGGATATTATCAAACAATAAGTTTCTTTAATTTTGCCTAGTTAGTAAAATATACATTATTGTAGATAGGTATTAATTCGGCTCAGAATGTATATGAGCACTGGTATTGTTGACCTTCGTATACTTTCTCGCATATATTATCTTTATTTAGAGCTTACGGACCCCTGGAACAAAGAAACGCTTTTATGTTGTTATCGTAAAATATTGTTGTAGTACGTGATTATTTCAAGATTTTGCGACTATCATTAACCAATAATCACTTCATTAATGGACTCTGGGCTGGTGGCGCTTAGAGCTAATCACTCTCCACGAACCCAAAATGGTTTCTGTTTGATCCCTCTTACTTACAAACATACACATTTAAAATGTATAATTCACTTATTGCGTGATTCAGTTATGTTTACAATAAAAGTATGATGAAGTGGCAGGATAATACATGTAATTTAGTAGTTCGCAAGACTCAGTTCAGTTTCTGTCACCTTAAAGAAATCTATATTCTAGCATAAACAAAATGTATGCTATTTCTCTTTGCTATCACGGGTGTGAGTACCAAGTTTGAGTTCTTTCAGTCGTAGGTTAAGTGGTTCTTTCATCGAAGCCACCCTAAAAATTACTGTTTAACAAACTATTAATTCGATTTGAAGATATAGTTAACTTGTAGTATGGGAATGAGCCGGTAAAAGTCGACTAAATAACTGTTGAGATTTCACGCAAATTTCATAATGAATTACTTTCGTCGTATATTATGGTAAACAAGCAGCAGAAATAACTTTGTATAGTGTCCATGATGTTCTGAATTATAAAGAAAAAATATTTTAATTCATTATAAAGTTATTAAAATAATATTAATGGCATCATGGGCTCGATTCTTTCTGAATGAATTATATGTAACACTCGAATCAAGCCTATCCCCAAACCCTAAATTTCAACTCTAACCCTAACCATGAATCGCTTAGCTTGAATGCTTAACCCTAACTTTAAAGCACCTACCAAAGATTATATGAGAACTCCTTTAAATCTTTCTATGTCCTTAATACGGTTCGAGAGGACTGATATTCTATATCCACTTGGATGGAATTATATATATATATATATATATATATATATATATATATATATATATATATATATATATATATATATATATATATATATATATATATATATATATATATGTCTTTCAATTTACAGACAAAGAAATCTGTAGAATACTTCAATAGATTCGTTAATCATATAGGATCTGTGCACCCAATATATTAATATTCTTTTAAAAACTATTTACTTACAATACCTGTCTTCTGATTGATTAACAACGAGCCGAACTTCATCGCGGTTATTGTTAGTTTGTCCTTGAACTATACTCTTACCGAAAATTCTTGACTATATTCGTAATCAACACTGATCATAGTTTAAAACAAACTTATCTACGATAATATTGTCTATTATGAACTATTTGATCTAATGATTCAAATGTTTTCATTTTTCCAAAAGATTAAATCTTCCTATGCTTTAATTTCACTAACCTTTTTATCTGTTTTAGGTGTTTTCTTAATTATTCATTTAGAATTATTTATTGTTGATTTGTTGCCAATCCATACAAATAATATTGCAATACAACGTTACCGACCTAAACGATGGGCCTATTATGAAATACATAAATGTGGTCGTATTAAAGGATATAGTTGTTTAGAGCATCGTCATTGTTATGAACGTTATCTACGGCATGATATGGTTTGTTTTGAAGTTTATCCATGTTTAAGTTCATGTATATTCATTGCTCAGGTAAGAACTCACTATAGTTAATTTCGATGACATTTATTTTTTTATTTTCGTTTTTCCTTTTGGATTTCAGATAGTATTAGTATCTGAGATATGCATTCTACCTTGTTTTAGAATTATCTATTGAATATACCAGTAATATAGAGTTGTAGTTCATAGTGATAATTGTATTCAATCTTTCGAACTTATAACGTTAAAGTTTCACCTACTGAACCATTGAACCTATATGAACCTATATATGCTCAACTAATCTGATATTTATCATAAGTTTTAAGAGCCTATAGTTTTTAAATATTAGGACCAATTTTGATCAGTTCGTGATTTCAGCCTCTAATAAGAATAATGCTAAAACCCATATCCTTACAACTAATGATAATTATTGTTCTTTTATAACATGCTAACAACTAATATGACATCCATTTTACAACGTTTTTGTGGTCTGAAACAATGAATTTTAGTCCCTTTTTTTTCAATACAAACACTAACGTTAGTGTGCTGATGAGTTTCACAAAAGCACAAAACGTGCGCTTTGGATTTTGATCCATGATATTATGAGAATAAAATCAATTTAAAAATCCAGGGAACACTGAGGCATTAGCTTTAAGAACGCGAGATTGGTCAAATTCAGTCTCATATATAAACAATACATGTATGTTCACAGAAAGAAAGGAATACTGATTTAGACTATGCAATTAGTTAATAATGTACAAATCGTTTTTAATATAGTTTGGAACGCCTGCAGGTGAATTTTACTTATAAACGTTTTAAACTTCATTCACTATAATTAATATTATAATTTATTCAGATGATTTTAAGAAATCTATCTATAGTAACTTAAAACTATCATCTTTTATGCATAATTTAACAGTTTTTATCTCTCCAGGGAAACACGTCATACTTTTCAATGTTATTTAACCGATGACATCAATCTCATGTTAATCTCAAAACTCCCACTGAAATATTTTCTAAATGAAATCAAAGGTACCGTATACAAAATTCATTAGTTTAAAAATAAAATTCAATCTATGTTCCTTCAATTGTTATAATGAGTAAAATGGCATGAATTTCTTCCCCAGTCCTTCGGTAAACAATAGATGAAATATAAACATCATTTGTCTATTCAAATTGAATTGAGTCAACTGAATACACAGAAACATAATCTTCCATTTGATGTATAAGATGAATTTTTACAAAAATTAGTTGTGTTTTGTAAGCAGTGATGGATAGTGTCTAGTAGTGGAATCCAGGACGCGCGTTTCGTCTTATTTGAATCTCGCCAGCTGGATGTACCTACATCTCATAGTTGATGTTCACTCTGGGACTCGAACCCAGTACAATTCGCTTCAATGGGAAGATACAAGCCAAACAATACCAAGTGAATCTAGTTGCGTTTTTTTAAAAAAAATAGTTACTTAATCAAAAAATGGGTTGAAAATAATCTATAAAGTAAAATATCAATGAACTATATGTAAACGTTTACTACTTAAACCGACATTCAGTAGCAAATGGTAAATAGTCACGAAATTTTCATATTTTTAATTATGACTACTCACTTTTTTTTTAAACATAGTTATATGACTATGAGAAATTTGCACAACAAGTTGAACGTTTAATGATCAAGGGAATACCAGTCAATAATCATGATGATGCAGTAAATTTTGTACGTGAAAAAACAAAGAAATTAGCCAAAGATTTAAATATGTCACTGCCATTAGGTGGAATATGACAGAATAAGTTAGTTTTTATTTTGTATACAACCAATGGATGAAATATGGCACATTTAATAAGAGCGGAATCATTTATTGAAGCTGTAATTGACCAATTTAATAATTCCTAATTAATAATCAATTTGTATAATTACAAATCGTTTATCTTTACTTGTGAACTTCAGAAAATCTTTCCATGTGTCACAATACACCCTGTATTTGATTTCAGTGTGTGTTTTTTGGATGCTTATACAATGTTTTGCATTTGTCTTACACTTATGTATATATATACATATATCTATCTGTTAATAAAATTATATTTTTCTTATATCGCTTTCTCCAAATCACTTCTAATTTTCATATAATTCACGCATTAAATTACAAGCACACTTGTATGTGTTGTGCATCAGATCACTGTTAAATAGGTATAATGATAAATACTTATAACAGTTAATACACAGATTTTATATTGGATAAATGCTTGGTTTTTAGTAACTCCCTTCTTAAATAATACCAACCAATTGCAACACACAATTCGAAGGTATATATTTAAAAACTGGATTGTATGAGACCGAAATCTCATCAGTTTTCAGTTGAGCAACAGAGAAATAAGAGTTATGTAACAGTGAAAACATTTTAATTAAACAAATGTTTAGATGAAAAACTATGAAACATTTTTTTCTGAAAATAATATCATTTTACGAGATGATAATGTATCCTGCGAGCGGGGTTGTGGATGTGCACTGCTGAGGAGTTCTATACTAGAACGAAATGACTGTCCAGTGCTTCCAGGTTTTTCATGGTGGTCTAGCTTTAATTGGCCCATGAATTCGACTATTAAATCACTAAAATCTCCACGAAATTCTCTGATGATGATGAGATGGTGATATCAAGTTATGTGATAATAATGTTCATAAACTGTTTCTTAAAACTGTGCTTTCATGTATATGTAACATATACTGATGAACTGCCGAGTAGTATTAGACAGTGGTATATATTTTGGTTAAGAATGAAATCTACCTACTTAATTTCACTGTACCCACTGACCGAAGAGACTTAACATCGCATACATTTGATGATCTTCCAGTAGTGAATACCAACAATTATGATATTATGTAGTTAGCGGTAATTCTCAAAAAAATACTGAACTTAGATTATTTTTTTATTTAACACTCATTATTGGGGTTTATTAGTAGTCCCTATAGAATGGATACTCCTTTGTAAGGTTCAAAATCATTTGACCCGGTGTCATATTTGAAAATACCATTAATGACTCCATATTTAGGAATTACTTAATATGAGTAAAGATCATTATATTTAAACACACAAATGTTAAGTGTATAAACTAATGAGAACGTGTGGACTTTGAAAATAATTCAGTATTATAAAAACTCAAATAAATGCGAAGTAGACAGGTTTCTTTATATTAACTACAATATAATAACTAAATGCTAACTGTACTTCAAATTTACTGATTTTCAAGATTAGATAATTAAAATCCAAATATTACCGAAATAGATAGTCATGTTGAACCAATAACATCTAACCAAGCGTCATGCTACCTAATATTTTATTGACCTTTCTTCCAATCTTCCCCCAAGACCAGGAAACATCATGAATAAACTTAAGATAGGCAATGTATTACTCAAACTTCTTAATAAGTCATAGTTAAATACTAATCAACCTGATAATTGACAGTAGGATTCTTTTGCTAACCCTAATACAAATATTTTTTTACACTTATCTGAATAATAATTATATGTTTTTGATGTAATAAAATTCATATTACATACTTTTCAATAGAACAAGACATCATATTAGTCTCATGATCCATACAATAAACAATATTGACAATTAAGTCAAGTCACCTGAAACTGTGTTATCCACCAAAACCATAACAGTCCTCACCAATGCATTTTATATAGGTACGATGTACGAATATATGAGTTGATATACTAACTTCAGAGGCTTTTTCTTTCCAAGAACAAACTTTCTTTTATTTTAGTGGTTTTCTCTTGAAAGGACACTCAGGTGAGGGTAATCAATTTATTATTTATTGCAAAATTACAGAGTTCTTTAGTAAAATGTAAAAACCATACATTAACTACTTCATCTGCAAATCTTCCATCAATTTCCCTTTACATCCTTCATGATTCTTCTAATTCTCGATTCCCTCCTATTTCCCTTTCTGTTTTCTTCATTGAAATCTTCTAAACTTTCTTTTGACAAACATTTCTCTTCTGATCGGTGATACATACTACTTATGTGGATAAACATAAGTAGCATTGACCACAGTTTTACTTCAACTAAATAAGTAAATATTTAATTACAATGTGTTTTCTAATAAATAATAATCGTGTGAACGGTTAGAAATTTTAATTTGAACATTAAAACTGAGGCGGAAGTACATTTAGCTGACAAGTTTCAAATAAGATGATACAAGCTCCCTGAGTTTCACTGCTGACCACGAACCATTTATTTTATAAGAGAGGGGTAAATGGTTAGTTTTTGGGATTTTTCATTGTCGATTAATCAAATTTGTTATCTGATATCATTTTATCATGTGTATCAGTGACATCTTTGATAATCAACTCATATAGTATTGGTTCTGAGTGTTGAAAAATAACTTGATAATTGTGACTGGATTTTGTGGACAAATAATCAGTCAGAACACTGTAGTTATTCCAATTACTTTGTAACCCACTTAATTTTAATTATGATAATAAAATCACATGTGTATCATTAAATCATATTCGAATTATATTGTAATGATCAATGTTCCAATCTTATAGCAAGCTTGAAATGTACGTTCTGGATTCCAGTGCCGTTCACAGTTCATCACTTCTATAAACACGGTTCAATATTATTGATTACTGAAACAAGTATTTACAAGAATTTAATTCATTGAAATATGAAGTTAAAAGAATTACAGACGTCAATAAAATGCAAAGATAATTTTAGACTATTACAAAATGTAAATATAACATGAGGAAATGAATCGTGTAAACCACTACTTTACATTATCCTATTTGTCTAGTCTATTTGGGGAAGTTGTGAGAGATACGTAATCACATGGTATGAAACATAAACTGACCTATAAATACCGATTATAATTAAGAATAAAAACAAATTATGTAAGATTGACTACTCTATTTGTTATAGTGTTAATTTAGGCGTTCACTAACGGGTATAGTATATTTGTGCTTGTGTATCAGCAAAATTAGCCTGTAGAAGACTGAGGTTTTATCGACTAAAGTAGAAAGGGGATATAATATAAAAGACGAAACACTGATTACCACTTCATGGCTGTCTGGTGTAGGACTAAGCTGAAAAACATATAGGAGTAACAAAACCAAGGCAAGCCATCGTTTCAAAAACCCTTATAAATAGGTTCGTGATTTCAATGAAATCTAATAATCCTCAAAACCCACACTGATAATTATCATGTTGTCATTAGTGATTAGCTCCCAAAACATTTCCATAGTTCTGTTGTGTTGCCTTGACCAGTGGAGTTTAACCTTGTCGGATGTGAGAAAGGTACTCACAGAAAACAGTGAAAGGTGGTCGCAAGATAGTGTGAACTGATTGAAATTGAACCTGTACATCATTGGATGACGGCTCAGTTGTGTAGAGTTCTAGCGTTTGTGCGCACGATAAGAGATCCTGTGTTCAATCTCCGGTCGTGTGGTCGTCGATACACACTGCTAAAGAGTGCCTCACTAGGATAAAATGGCTGTCTAGTGCCTCCAGGTTTTCAATGGTGGTCTAACTTGCATCCCTTTGTGATTTTAACGAAATCCAATAATCTACACAGCCCATACTAGTAACTCATTTATTGTTGGTGTCAGCGGATCATTTGGTTGGTACATAAGCGATATTCATGATGAATGGTTGGTGACGCACGTCTATTCATTATCTTTTTTTCATATACTGAGCTTTAAAATTATTTCTTACTTTTTGACATTTGAATTCACTCCTTCTTTAGTAATCACCTCTTTGTTTATTATTTAGCTATCACAGATACTAGTATTACAGAGATTCTTTGCTACGTATTCTTCTCACTGTGTCGACGTGATGTGTTGGCTTAGATTGACGTGTATTTATGCTAAACATTAATCACATAGTTTATGTTAATTATGGGTAGTATACTACACAAAACCAAAAATATTTATCCTTTAATAGTTTTTGATATGTTATGTATCTTTCCTATTTCCAATAATTTAACAATCAAATTTTAATTCTTATCTACATGACACAGAGCTTGGAAACCAGTTACTTTCTAGTAATTGTCTGTTCATTATCATTTCAACAATATGACCGGGTTAAATCCAATCAGACACAGATGTCAAGTAAGGTATGAGTAGGGAAAACATTTAGTCACTTAGTGTTTTGTATTAATTATTTAAACTTTATCGTTGCGTTACATGAGCAGCTAACTAATAGTGCAAAATTCCTAAATCTTAACAGACCTTATCATTATCCAAATGTGATCATTTCTCATTTTGAGTAGGTTTAACTGGATGGGAGAAATTACGGGATGGGTGAAGTGACTAAAGATGTTACGGGTTTGAAGTACTGGTCAATTACATCAATAATTGTGACTGGGTACAACCTAAAACCAGAAAATAAAACTCTGTAAACTGGCATTTTATTATCCCCGCCTAAAAACTTCCGTCTGCTTGGGTCGACGCGTTTATGGGAAAGCTTAGAAGAAAAGAGTTGTCTAGAAACACTTTCGTCTAAGTTTGCTGGCCGATGACCTCTCGCATAAATAACAACGTTTCTGCTGTGTTGCAATTCGATATTGTGGAATAACTAGTCTAACTTTTCTTGGTCAATTAGATCTCCCCGTTTATGGATGACCTTTTTCAGGTGTCATAGGGTTCAAAGCACCGCTAGTAAGCATACTAATTGTAGCGTACCTGTAGAAGGAGCGTGACAATGCCTTCAACACTGTGAGGAACTGCACAAATTGGTCAACCACTCTGTACTTCAGGTTCTAGATAGTATAATAAGGTTTCTATATTGTTGGGTCAGAATGGTATGTGCTGTAAGATGAGAGTCTTAAGTTTTTAAAAGTTTAGGTATTTATTACGGCATAGTGAGAATAAAGTTTATAAATATCTGAAAACGTTCTGAGAAAATGAAAATAATATCACACTATGTAAAGGTATGTATATTATTTTACAAGGAGTAGACCAACAGTTTATTGCTTGGTATACTAAATCAAATCGGGCTCATCACTAAAGATGTGATTGATATTTAGTGCTAAACAACGCCGTTAGCCGTAACCTAACTAAACCAAAAGTCAGGGATAAGCAAGTTTGAATACATATATTCGTAAAGTAGCCGAAGTAGTCCAAAGATGTGTGAACTAAGCTGATTAGCTGTCCGGAGGTATGTGTTGCATAGCGTACACAGTCGTGATCTGTTACGGATAACTGACCAAACGCATTCAACTAAGTTGTATCCAGTAAAAATAACGAGGTCAGTTTCAATGTCGAAGGCTGAGAGAACTATTTATTGTGGGAATTTATTTATCGCTACAGGTTCCTGAGAGAAATCTGTCTAGCTTTAGCTAATCAAAAACATGTCATGAGTCATTTCCGATCTGAAATTAAATAAATTACAAAGCATGAGTCCTTTTTTAACTTTCGCAAATGAACTTTCGTAAGTTACATCTTGGTTTCCTGGGAGATCCAAAATTTTCCTCAAACATTAATGTCTGTTCCCGTTGTGATCATTGAAATTTCAGAAGGAATCAATCGTCAATAGTCAGAGACTCACATTCGTGATTACCCTTACATACTTTTGGGACGATTAAAGCGATCACTTAGGTTCTTCTCATACAGTGCATTACAAGGATCATTATTCGTGAAACTGAGTTTTACTTTGTCTCGAAAATCTTTTTACTATCTTCAGAGACAATCACTGTTAAATGAGTCTATAAATTGTCAATATCTGTCTAAAGAATTCGTAAACATTTTCTGAATGCCATATATCAGTTCCTAAAACGTCGGAATATATCCGGTAGGAATGAGTAATGATCAATATTGAGCACAGACGGAGATCTATATGTTATATATATACTTCTTTAAACGTTTGTATTTATCATAGTATATTTTGATTATATTGTATATTGGGTTCTTGATCGGTTATCGTATATTTGTATGACAGCTCATCATTTGATTAAGTGTCGTGATTCATCATGATCCATTGATCTAGTACGCAGTTCAGTGTTTGGTCTTCTCGATCTAATTATCTAGCGTATTTTGTCTAGCGTAGGATCGTATCAGGTGTTAAAATCACCAACCAGAAACCTGTTTATCTTTCTGAATGGTAAAATTCGCGGTAAAATGCTATATCAATGTAATCCACATATGATAAAAATGACTAATCAAATTTCAGTCTTGAGCAACAATCAGGTAATTTAAAACCTTACTAATAATGAGTTATAAAGATTACCCCAAGGATGAGATATAAATCCCACTGGTAAAATATCTTAATATACCCAAAGAACAATATCCGATTTTACTACACCAAAGGAAATTTACTTGTTTGACTGAATGCTGAATTTGTCACATAGATGTATTCATATAGTTCGAAGTTAATCTGATATTAGGTAGACACACTAGAAACTAATCATTTACTAAAAGTGCATCTCAACATATCTCATTCTATATGAATATAACATGTTACTAATAAGTGAAGTAGAAAACAAGACAGTCTACTTTGAGCACTGAAAAATAATTCATTTTTGAAATAGTCATGACAACAAAATAAAAATCGATTAGAAGTCCCAAAAACTAAGAGACTATTGAAGAGGTATTTTGTTTTGTTCAAAGGCCCCCACAAAGTAAGTGTCCAAAGCACCGCATACATTATAGAACACAGTACTTGCAGCGAGTACTTTATCTTTAGAACGAAAAATCTGCACACAATAACTGATATCTTCAACTTCAGTAATTTAGTTATATAGAGTAAATATTATCCAATGACCATGAACCATGCCTATCTCACTCTTGACATGATTGATTCCTAGCTTACAACTCAATAATCTGGAGGTTGCGTGATCAACATAAGAGATAAGAGTTCTATGTTCATCCCCATATGGTGTCATAGATATGTACGGTCAAGTAGGCCTAAATTATAGCTAAACAGCTGTTCTGTTCTCCTGATAACTCTAATAGTCTGCAGCTATTCTCACATATTTATTATTTGTCTAATTTAAAGTCACTTTAATTTGAATAATGAAATCAAATTATCGGTACTTAACTGAAAATAGGACATCAGTATTCGAATATAATAACCAGACAACCTTGACTTATTACAAGATAATAGTAAATGGTATTTTTCATTAAGATATATGAACTAAATAAACATTTTGTTTCCCTATTATATACATTCTGTGGTGTATCCAAAATATCATTTACTTTTGCATACATATCACAATATATCTACGTTTCTTTTTTATAAGAAAAAGGTTTTTGTATATAATTTCTATGTGAATATGATTCATTCATTTATATTTCCACTTAATAGAATCATTGAACAATTTATCTAATTGTCTTTTAGTAATTAAGGTTTTGACTATTACAGTGAACATAAGATAAACTCGTTTGGTTCTTATAATAATGAGACAAAATTTATTTATATTATACTAACTGTAATGAAATGAAAAGAGACGACCAACAAAGAAGTTGAATTAATTACACTTAAATTCGAATCATAGCGAGATTATGATTTATGAATGAACCAATCAGAAACAAGATAACAGATCTTGGATTTCGGCATAAAATTCATTCATCTATTTGGCCAAATAGCGTTTTTACATTTTAGCCCGATGTTAGTTCGTGATGAAAAACTCTAATCGTCAACTGTATATGTTAATTCTAATTCCTAACACTGCTTTATAATGCTCATTTAGTCTTAGTTAGTAGTTGGTTATATTAACGTTCACTTCAGCTTCGCTCAAAGGTGGTCCATAAATTATAGTCACAATTGATCGATCACTTGGTGGTGATCAATGTCATGTGTGTCAAGTTCTTATTTAGTGCAGATCGAATGCTATCGACCATGTTGCAATGTGGACACCAGTCTAGGTGACTCGACATTGTGGGCACTATATATTAAGATTAGATGGTGGTTGGAGGTAGTCGACAGGAAACCCTGGACCCGGGTTTCGTGCTACTTGGCACTCGTCAGTAAGGTGTATCTGTAGTGTTGAGGAGACTGGTGCTCCCTGGCGTATTCGATCCCGTGTCGCCCAGCTTCACGTTCCAGGGTCCAGGGTTTCCTGTCTACTACCACCGACCACCATCTAATAAATTATAGTCTCACCTAATTCATAATGTGATAATTATCTTATGATAATTGAACCACACAGATTATATTAAAAAGAAGAATATATTTGTAAAATCTCAGCGAATGAATTTTAAGTAAATCCAACGTTTCACCTGGCAATCTGGTCCAAACTTTTTCAAGGAAAATATAATCAAACAATAAAATTATCGGCGCCCAAATATTATGAAACTATTCGTTCAAATTTAGACGAAAGTTCTTATTTCACACAGATAATAGTCTGTTTTTTTTTCATTAAAATGATTGAAAAATGATATCACTCTTATGAAAGCTTTCACAATCTAGACTGTTATATAATCGTGTAATCGATAAGTATTTATCTAAACTTGTTAAACGCTCACCATTTAAAACTATGAGATTTTCTTTTTTGTTCATTGAAATGAATCAAGGAGCTTATTCATCCATCGCACTATTAACATCAAAATCTTCAACTTAAAATAATAATTAATAGACTAGTGTACAAATTTTATTTTCTGAATTTAGTTTTTACAAATAAGTAGTATATTCATGAGAAATAATAATAAAAAATTACATTTATATCTTCAAAATAAACAAACAAATAAGTATGTACATATGTATAATGCATATCACAGATTGTCTTGTCTCTACTTTTTTCTTATATCTTAATCTTTCCTGGTTGTTTGATTTCCCTGTAATATTTGTTATTTTATATGTAATGTCAGTAGTATTGATAGTAACATGAGTTTAGGTAGTAGTAGTAGTAGTAGTAGTAGTAGTAGTAGTAATAATAATAATAATAGTAGTAGTATTGGAATTATTTATGGAGGTATATTATTATTTGTACCATGGATGAGAATGACCATTTCTCAAATGCACTTATTTCATTCAATGAATTTAGAAAAAGGAAAGTTTTCATTCAAGGCATGAAAATATACAAATAAACAGGAAAACTTAAATACAAATAGAATTTCTGAAAAGAAATACAAAACATGTACAAAACAGAAAAGATATAATAATTTGATCCTGTTTTCTTCTCTAAATTATCATTAGAATTTTTCGACCTGTAATGTAGTGAAACTCCTGGGTTAATTCATATTAGACGATTCCGAAAATGATCATGCTGCTGCTGCTGCTGCTGATGATGATGATGATGATGATGATGGTGGTGATGGTGATGATAGCACTGAGACTTTTGGTTGATTATGCAATGGTAGAGTTAAATTTAATTCTTTCAATAATTTTGCCGTTTGTTCTCGTACATAATTAATCGGATCGTTATGATTATTGACTGGTATACCGTCTAATAATAATTTTTTAATTTGTTCATTTAATTTTTCAGCATCGTGAAGCTGTAAAATAAATAAAAAAAAGATCGATATTTTTTTAAAAAAAAGAGTTCAAGGCGAGACTCTAATTTATGGACGAGTCAATCAGAGGAGTCTTAGAGATTTCAAGGTTACGGCACCAACTTCAGTGCTTAATGCTAACGTACGAACGGTTCACGGGGAATTTTGTACAAAATGTGATAATTGAGCGGCTATAACAAATAAAACGGCGATACTATAATTTGTGGACGAATCAATCAGGTATAAGATAACAGATCTCGGATTTTAACGCGAAAGTCTTTCATCCATTTGGCTAAATAAATTTCTGGCATTATAGCTGATGTCAGTTCGTGATGAAAACCCCATATATACTTCCTAACGCAAATTACGACAATTACTACGAAATGAATAATAAAAGCACCAGTAACACTGGCTGCAGCCTGGTACTACAATATATACGGATGTTTGGAGAGCGAACGGACTCCTACATGTGCTTGGTTCTGTGCATCGTGTCGTTATCCACAAGTAGCATTTGGTGCACTCATCAACCGGTGTGCACATAAACAATATTGAAGCTATGTGGTCGAGGCTGAAAGAGTATTTGAAACTTCATCATGACTGCAGAGGCCGACTGTTTTGTAGCCGTATGGATGATTTTCTCTACTGCATGCATTAAGATTTTAGGACCTCTGAACCTCTTTCTAAACTTGAAAAGTTTTTGAACCACGTATAAGAAGTGTATCCATTTTATTTCATTGGTTTTGTATAACATATTTTTACCCTATACTGACTGTTTGCTGATTGGCTAATATTTCTCAAGGTCGCTTAAGATTCGTTCAAAGGTCGCCCATAAATTAGAGTCTCTCCGAGTTCAAGTATGAAAGAACAATAGTTAGTGTCTTTTTTTCAAGAAATATGTTTTATACTACTTGATAATAATGGATTTTATTAAACAATAACAAAAATTCAAATTAAGGTTAAATAAACAAATGTGTTGGAATTTATATTGTAACTCATTCCGTCATGTTATTACTTATAGAGTTTAAATTATCCCGTTGTTGATACTCAGTACAGAGTTTTACTTAGCCATCATTGATAAATGTAGATCCTGTGGAGGATTGCCTCAATATAGCGCATTCTTGATTTCACTGCTAGTCATAATTAATCTGTTGATCCAGTCGTGAATGGCTTAGGTTTTACTATAATAAATCTTGTGTAATAACAAATTTTTAGCATTATATTATCTGAATCAACTTATGCTGTATTGAACAAGATCCAGTCAATACTAAGATCTGGATTAAACTTTAATAATGAGCTTACAACATGATAGTAGTTCAGAATAGACATTGATAACATACACTGATAATATGATACAGTAGTCCAATAAGAAATATCTAGAATTTAATAACGTATTCATTGTAAAACTATTTTTTCTCAAGCATCTTCTTGATGGAGTAAATTGATGAACAGATTATTGTTTAATATGCCAATGAAACGTCTGGTGCAAATGACATCTTCTTACATAATGTGTTCTGTTCTTTGAAATTCTTCATAGTTTGCATCACGGACTAACATGGTTTAGATAATGACTGGAAACTAAGAGGCACTGGACAGATGCTTCATCCTAGAATGAGACTCTTCAGAAGTGCACACCAACGATTCTACCACGATTGAACCTAAAACCTTCAGGTGATCTGACTAGCGCCTAACAATTTGACCATTAACATGTTTCTGGTATGATATTTTCATTTGCATTGATAAGCATCAAGATGATAATCATCAGGTTGTTGGACATTAATGTTTTATCTGTTCTATGTTAGTAACATTAAAATAGACATTCAAAAAGCGTATAAACAGTATAACTAATTAACCGAATTATTAGCCCTTACCTGAGCAATAAATATACATGAACTTAAGCATGGATAAACTTCAAAACAAACCATATCACGACGCAGGTAACGTTCATAACAATGACGATGTTCTAAACAACTATATCCTTTAATACGACCACATTTATGTATTTCATAAAAGGCCCATCGTTTAGTTCTATGACGAATTATGCTCCCATCTGCAAGAATTGTTGGATGTAAGTTTACAATATGTAACTGTAGTTTGACAGACAACAACAAACCTAAATTATGTAAGAAAAAAAAACAGTTCAGGACATTAATTTTTAAAACTGTTAATTTTAACTGCAAGTAAAGCTTGACTTTAACACGTATACGATGATTGAATATAAGTTGTGGATCCAGAAGGTCATCAGTTTGTGGGTAAATATCGATGTTCATATATCTTTCTGTGATAATTCTTACTGTGAATTACGAAATATATACGAAGTGTATAAAATGATTCTTCTTGTAAACTCTGGGTTTCATTTTAGTCTTCAACCTCTTACGCCAAATAGATAATTCAACTAGCGGATTCCAAATAAATCATCAGTCAAGTTCAATTTATCATCACATGATTATGATCTCACTTACAGTAAAACTAGTACTTTGTTGTCATCACAAGTGTTTATCATTTGGTGTAGGCTGATTATTTTAATGAATATGAATCAACAATTTGTAAACTCAAATCGTTAATGAGCTCCGAAATGTTACTGGAACATTGCAATCCCACGTTGTTAACCATTGTAGCGGCCGATACTTCAAGTTGTGGTGTTGACGCATTCATGTTACCTTCATTAAAGAATAGAAAAGGAAAAGCCACTGTTCATACTTCCCTAACAATAACGCCGATAGCGAAAAAATATAGTCAAATAGGAAAGGAAATCTTAGCATCTGTGTTCGCCTTCTGTTGCTTTCACAAGTTTTCGTATGGCTGGAAATTCACTTTAAATAGAGTAAAGGCTTCTTCTTACAGTATTTGGTTCAAAATACGAATTGCCGACGCACAGAGATTGCCACTGGTTTCAATTTGATATAATTTCGAACTGAAGAATCCTAAAAACCCGATCCACTGACTTATCTAGTAACAGCAGCTAGAGGATCGGTAATCATCTTATTAGGTACAAAAGATTGTACACTAAGTCTCTGGTACACAGTCGTTTGAGCCTTTCCAGTATAAACTGCAGACATCCAAACCATCACCTGATGTTACAGAAAATGATTACTTGTAGAAACGTGGTATCAATGAAAACCCTAGCATTCAAAATCGGAGCTTCTCTGTTCGTCTGAGATTATATAACAAACCACGATGAGTGAATGCCATTATGATTTAGGCTGGAATTTTGTTACAGTAAATTATTCAGTGTAAACACTATCTATGGAATTTCAAGACCTTTTTATAATGATTTATATGAATGAAACATACTCAGTTTAAATTTTTAAGACATTTTTTTGTTCGTGTATATTTGATAAACTTAATGTATTTTGTTTAGTTACATACTGAGTCAACACCATAAATCTTCATCAAATAAAATTGGTGTTTTTGCCTAAATTAATGAAATAGGAAAAATAAGGATGGAAGTGGATTTTTTCACAATATTGAAGTAGGAGTTGAGAGTTATTAGCGTTTTGAACGAATGAATAGATGATAATAAAATCAGAAGGTTGAAATTATTTCTCAATATGGAATAAATAATCTCAAAATTTAGGTTTGGGAATGCCAGATGTCTGTTTACTGCTAGTAAATTTATTTGTTTATTTGAACACATAAATATTTTCAGAATGAGTTTTGTGGAGATTTTAGTAAATTTCACAGGTTGTAATCATGAGTCGGGGGCGGGTTCGTGGATGCGCACTGTTGAGGAATCCCATACTAGGACGAAACGGCCGTCCAGTGCTTCCAGGTTTTCAATGGTGGTCTAGCTTCAACTGACTCATGATTTCAACCTGTGAAACATAAATGTTTGTACAAAGGAGTACCGAATACATATGGGTCACACAAGTCACTTGATTTGTGTGTGGAATGTGATACTGCCCGGGTGCTCAGACCAAAGCAGTAAATTAACACCTCAAGGATGATCATTTATAACTTCATAAAGGAATCGGACCAAAGAATTTAGGTTGAGTATCATTAGAATTAATGGAGTTAGACTGTGAATGATTACAAATTAAAAATGTCGACTATTTCCAAAGCTGACTAATATCTTAATAGTTCTGATAAAACAGTTCTGTCTTCGTCCTCATGTAAGTTCACATATATCTGACCGGATGGTCATCTAATATCTCCTGGTTTCATTTTGTTGGTTTCTTAATTTACGCCACTTTCTACTATTAAGTAATTTGAAATTGAACATTATTTATAAATTCCTTATCATGCATTAAAAATGAACTAAGGCATCAGCAACTTTTAAGATTCATTAACAAATAACTAAATATAACTTTTCTTATAAACAATACTTATTATTTATGTTTTGTGCTGTCTTTATAAGAATAAAACTCAACCAGTGAAATATACTGGCTAAACCCAGTTAATTAATTCATTACAGTACTGGATTTGAGTCCCAGAGTGAAAATCAACTCTGAGATGTAGGTACATCCAGCTGACGAGTCTCAATTAGGACGAAACGCTTGTCCTGGATTACACTGCTAGACACTTTGCTAATAACAACTAATTAATTACTTAAATAATTGATTGATTAATGTTCCTCGCAATTGAGAAAACAAAAAATCAATGAATAACTAAATACCTTTCTAAAGTTATTGACGATCTTTTCGAAACGTTTATTATATATATATATATATATATATATATATATATATATATATATATATATATATATATATATATATATATATATTACAACACACATTCAAATAGCCACACAGAAAACAAACATTAATTCATGCTTGCTGACACTATATGGCTTTTTCACTACAAAACAAACAAACAAATAAATGATATCAGTTCGAATATCTCGGTCGGTTGGTGAGAGGAATATAATAGAAATATAAATTCACTTGGTATCCATCTTTCCTTGAAAGAAATATAGCTATTATTACTAGTAATTAATTAATTGTGAGTAGTGTCATTCTTTATTAAAGTTAAATTAAGTTCCCTTAAGTTTTTCTACGTTTAAAATATAGAATAATAATTTTAATTACAAGTGAATGTAATAAATCAATTCGATTAAACTAATTCACAGAGTTATCCATTTTATATTTCATTACGAACCAAGTTACATGAAGTAACTTCATTTATGACGTCATATAGTTTTACAAATATATAACTTTAATTAAAAATGAATAAGAAAGAAAATATTATGTAGTTCAACTTGTAATTAGTAGTATGTTTGAAGATAACACTTCACTATGAACGACGTCGAAAGTTATAAAGAACTGAATAATTATTTTATATCTATTCATTTCTTCTAAACTAAATGTAAACAAACGATGGGACTGAATTCGGTATTTTTAAACCTCTTCAGAATTACAATCTCTAATCATAGATTCTCAGGCTAATAGTTCACACTTTCAACTTTAAACAATTTAAGATATGGCACAATCTTTATCCAATTTCATCAGTGTATTATTACCTCGTTTTTCATTTGACTAATATTACAATTCATAGTTATTTACATGAACATTGGGAAATCTTTCGTGACTCTACTGAGTAACGAATAAATTATTTTATTAAAATTATAGAACCAATTATCATCATGTGTTTTATTGGGTTTTGGTTTGGTTACCTTTGACGAAATAAAAAAAGAATTTATGAACCATTAAGAATAATTTTTTTATTTATTTTATCCTATGTCCAATGATTTATACAATCATAAATATGGATTATCAAGGAGTTGTGGATGAACAAAGGAAACATCTGTTTTGGCGTTCATTAATTCATTAAATTAATCACTCTATTAATTTTCATGATTAAGTCTATAAATTGAATAATTAAAATGAATAATAACTAGGTAAATAGAAGTTATTTTTAAACAATAAAAGATTGGACATTTGGAATAATGTTCGAACGTGATGAATTAACTTTTAAAATATAAATATTATTGTATCTTATGTATTAACTAAAAATAGTAGTCATTTTTCGTACTATGTGACAAATTATTTGTAATAATAATGATGATAATTCTGTATGAAATGCAATCATCTTCCTTTGATTGAGATCGATGTTAGACCGTCAAGGAAAACTTGGAAGCACTGGATGAACGTTTCGTCCTAGTATGAGACTTCTTAGCTGTGCATCGATTGGTTCATGATCTCAATTACACAAATTTGTTAAATTTTGGTGAGTAATTAAGTTTGCGTTTCCGTTGAGGTCATGGTTTCTGATGTTTACAGACGACTGAGATTTTTCAACTCTGATTGGGAACTAATGGGAACTTGATACTGTGACTACTGACATGCACAACAATTATGTCTAAATGATGTAACCCAAGGAGATAACAGAAGTTTATAAAAAGCTTGATATTAAATGAAGACAAAACTAAGGTAGAACAACTATATATATATATATATATATATATATATATATATATATATATATATATATATATATATATATATATATATATATAATGACTGACATGACCTTAGAAATAAAAGGTTAATTCATGAGCCTAACTCTACCTATATGATCATTTAAATTACACTGAAAATAGTATGCATAGAATGTGAATAACTGCATGGTCGTACTGATTATACTAAACAGGCTGCTTATTCATGACATTTCAGAATATAATAAATGATCAAAAGGAATGAAAGTACATCGATCTTGTCTAGAAAGTATGAGATGAGAAAGTAATAGTAGAACAAATTTGTGTTAATAAATTAGCTATTAATGAGCATAGTTCAGCTAACTGTATTCGACCCCGTCTATTCGAATCGTTTCAGTTCGTCTATGTATACGGTGTTTCATGTGTTGATCTTTCTTCTTAAAAACTAGAACTTTTCCGAACGATTTTCAATCTATCAAATTGGATAATGTGTCCTGTTCCAACTGAGTGTAATGTTATCACTGATCTATTTTCAAGTACTTCTAAACATCATTAAGCCGAATGTAATTAAATTTACAATCATTTTAACCATTCTATTGTTTGTGTTTTCTCATACTCACATTGAATCATCATGATTTCTCACTTAGATCTGAAACTTTATTTTTCACCTGACACGTCGACCTACACTCATGTTACTTATCTATAACTAAACAAGCAATTTCTTCACTGCTGCTCATACCTCTATTAAGAAAAAATAAAAAACACCCATCATCAACCTACTACTAATTTTAGTATTTACTTATTATTGGCACAAAATAATAAACTGACTTCTATCATTGTTTTATTTATTAACATATTCACACTTGTTTACCTTAATTAACTTGAAGCTTTTGCCCGCCTACACATTGAATATTTAATGATAATAGATTTAAATAAAATTTTATGATTGTTTTTATTCATTGATTCATTCATTTGTTGTTTTTATTGTGTTATTTTTGGTGTAAATGATGAATATCATTTGTTTTCTAAGAAAAAGATGTGTATCAAAGAGATTTATGACTATTGTATTATTTATTTATTTATTTATTTAGTTAGTTAGTTAGTTCTGTTTAGTGCTTACGTCATATAACAATAACAATCATATAATAATTAAGGTATATTTCATCGCCCGAACAAACATTAATGTAAATACTTGCGAGTGCATACACAAATGAGCACTGCAATCTAACATCTGATTAGATCTTTTTAGTGATTTAAACAACTAACAAATTTTTCTATTGTTGTGAAATAAAATACAGGGATAAGCGTGGTTCTAACAATCTTAGTAGTTACTTAAAATATGAAAGTAAATAATTGCTGAATTTTACTGAAATCTAGAACTGATTAAATTTAGACCATTATTAAAATCTGGAAGCACTGGACGGCTGTTTCAATCGTAGTATGGGACTCCTTACTAGTGCGCATCCATGATCCCACACGTAGGACTCAAACGAAGGACCTTTGGTCTTATGTGCGAATCTTTAATCTTTAGACCATTAAGCCGGCAGCTGACAGTGTTAGTGCTTAATTTCAATCAATCTAAGATGTTGTGCAATCATCTTCCATTGTTTCCGGTGGGTAATTGTTTCATACCCGACATGATTTAATTTCACCAGTCACGGCTTTTCATTGGGATCCTAGAAATTTCCTCTTGAAGCTAGTCATCAGTGAGCGCGTGATAATTGTCAGCATGAGGTTGTGGAGATTGTTGAATTTCATTGAAATTATGGACCGATATAAGTTAGACCACTATTGAAAACCTGGAAGTACTGAACGGCTGTTTTTTTTGTTTTCAATTTTTAATAATAAATTTATTTGATCAAAACTTTGTCTAAGATAGTCATTTTCGAAATGTGAGTTATTCTCATGGCTTGTTCATTGTGTAGTCAATAATTTTGATGCTTCATTTTGTACGCATCACATATATAAATCAATATCAAGACATTATATTTATGTAATATTTACATAATGAGTATATTGAAGAAATCAGTATTTTAGCAAGAAACCATTATCCAAAAGTACATGATTTTCTCTCCAATCTGATTTCGTTTTCAAATGAACTATCTATTAGTAAATAATTAGTACAGATTTAAAAAATATTGAATCTTTGAAGAATGTTTATGTCTTCTCGTTGTTGACATTCAGGACCCCAAATGTACATTCTGTGTAGATTGTCTGTCTATTAATAACATTTAGTGAGACGTTTTATCATGTCGAAGAAACTAGACAAAAACTTGATTATTTTCATTCAAACGATAAAATAAAACGATTTTAAATAATAATTCAGAAATGTTTTTTTATAAAATTATTCTTCATTTACTTTAATTACATTTGAATTTAGTTAAGCTAATGTCAATTCGATATTTAATTTACACGATTTTTTGACCTTTTCTATTGTGATAGCAGTAGGTTAAGTAATGAATGTATGAAATCGAACTAAGAAGTTAAGTACAACTTCAAATGAAACTAGAAGAACAAAATGAATTCGTTTACAAACTAATAATAATAATGATAATAATTAGTCAATTTAACAGAACTGCTTACATTAACTTGTATACAGCTACTATATAGGTAATATCTAATTTTATAATGATAAGCTATTTAAGTGAATTATCTTTGCTACTAACGAATTAAAGAGTGTAAGAACGATTACACGAATGATATTCTCTAACTATTATGTTACTATTTGCATGACTGAATAATAATAAAGTATTTTTAGTTATATATTCAAGTACAAAGTAGTTTGGAATAATCAACAGAGAATTATGAACATAGGTTTTATGGTTGTTGACACTGGTTAGTTATCAGTGTAATCTTTATAATTTTAAGGGGATTGATATTTTTTGTACGATTCGAACCTCGGTCAGACAGCTTCAGTCTAACCTGCTTAGGTCCACCTAACATCTAAAAACAGTATGTGCGATATCAAGTGACCTAGTCTAATGGTTACACAACAAAGTGATTAAAAGAACTTGATTACTACTAAACGATTAGATAAACGTGTTACCAATCACTACTCACTGACCTGTCAATTATCTATATTTAAATATTGTGATATATTCCATCCCTGTAGATTGAAATAATTAAACATTTATCTGAGTTTTATAAGCAAAGATGATTAGTGGCTAGCAGTGGAATCCAGGACGCATATTTCGTGCTATTTGGGACTCGTCAGCTGGATGTACCTGCATCTCAGAGTTGATGTTCACTCTGAGACTTGAACCCAGTACCATTCGCTTCAAATACCATCGCGTTATTCACTTAGCTACTGAGTCCAGTTAACCAATTGCTTGTGCGGTGCTGTGAGAATGTGGCCTTCTGAACTCAGTAGCTAAGTGGATAACGCGATGATATTTGAAGCGAATGGTACTGGGTTCAAGTCTCAGAGTGAACATCAACTCTGAGATGTAGGTACATACAGCTGACGAGTCCCAAATAGCACGAAATATGCGTCCTGGATTCCACTGCTAGCCACTAATCATCTTTGCTTATAAAGCTTGTGACATAAGGCAATATTGAGACAATTCTCACAGTATGCACATATGCCAACAAGAGACTGATCAGTTGCAGTCCTAAAGAACAATAAGAAGATACAAGTAAAACAACACCAAGTGAGCTAATCTGATTATTTACATATGAATATATTTGTCTGCTCATTGTTCTTTGTAAGAGAATACCATTATTTTAATTATTAATACTCATTTGAAGAATAACAAAATTTATTGAATAAAAGAATTTATCATATTTCCTTTATTAGTAACTAGCTGGGTTTGCGCATTTACTTTTTTTTAATGAACAAATTCGGTCTGCTAACATTATTTTAATCACGGTTACAATTAATTTTTATCTAGATTCATTATTACCATATATATATATATATATATATATATATATATATATATATATATATATATATATATATATATATATATATATATATATATATATATATATATAATGACATTCAACCAATTTCCCAGGTAATTTAAACGGGTTTTAATTTATGAAGAATAGATTACTAATTAAACTACTGCCATACATGTCTCCTTCTAATATTCAACTATCAAGTGTAAATGTTAAATTCATTCATCGTTATTTTCAATACTTATTAAAATGAAACCATTACATTACTAAATATGAAATAGATTTCATCACAAATCGATTCCCCTATTCATAATATATAACTGAAAATCAATTCCCTTGAGTATAGAACACAGGTATATAAACAGTTACTCTGCACATGTCAGGGCAATTAAATATATGAAACATGTTAAGTTTATTGATACATTACTAAATATATAAAATTCATCTTAAATGTGTACATTTTTCATATATTTATAAACAGTCAATTTATATCATTGCTAAGACTTTAAACTGTGTATAAATATATTTCATAGATTCCTATCGCTAACGACTAGCTTAAAGATGGCTTTCTGAGAGTTCTAGTAAGAAGCTGTGACCAGTGAAGTCCAATCCCTGTTCGGTGTGAGATAGTTATCCACCTCAGACAATAGATGAAAGGTTGTGCAAGATTATGGATTGGTTGAAGCTAAACATTAATACTGTTGGGTGTCGGCTCAGTGATATAAAGGTTAAGTGTTCGTGCACGAGACTGAACGTTCTGAGTTTGGGTCCCAAGTGTGGGATCATGGATGCGCACTAGTGATGAGTCCTGTACCAGGATGAAACAGCAATCCAGTGCTTTCAGGTTTTCACTGATGATTTAGCTTAGATCAACTCATGAATTCAACTATTAAAACCCCTTAGATTACAAATCACCATATACCTGTCAGCATCCATCTTCTGGTACACTTTTGATAAGGTTTAAAAGTTTGAATACTATTTGTTTTTCAAAAACAGAATTCTTTGAAAAGAAAAAAAAATGAATAATACACTCAAATGTTTATTATTTTTTCTTAAAAAAAAAAAGAAAAACAACAGAGAACACTTGAAGCTACAAACATTTGTTCATAACTTACAGTAAAGTAGAAATTTGATTAGCATTTTCTTTAAATATCGTTTTCTGGTTGTTAATTCCAAGAATGTAAATGAAAAACTTTTCTTTTCCTTTTAGGGTAACGGACTTTAATCGATATGAATTTTCAGTTTTATTTATTTATTTATTTGTTTATTTATTTATTTCCTTTTTATACTCAAATGATAGTGAGAGATTTCTTGTGAATTGTGCAGAATTAAACGCCCACTTGTTTATTTTTAAATAGAATGACCAATCAGATTAATCGGTTCAATGTACAATGAAAGATGAAGAAATGCCAAAATAAAGTAAATATTATGTGCATATATCTACAAGTGTGATCATGATTTAATTTGAAAAAAAAGTAGTATAATTTAATATTAATTTTATTTAATTTTTGTTGGTAGATTATTTTATTTATTTTGATTATGTCATCATAAGTTGCGTGGGTGATACTCAATAAATGACAAAAAAAGGATGATTAACTGTAAACATTGGAAAGACATCAATTATGTGTAAATGTTGAGTCAACTAGCACAACTAAATGAAAACAGTTAAGTTGTTGATCGTTTTTGGTGGTTAAAGGAAAGAAGGTAAAACGCTAACATAGTGATTGAATGACCTTTTTATATAGAATCATTTGGACTTATATCATTCATAGAGCAATATTAGACCACCATTGAAAACGTGGAAGTAATGGAAGGCCATTTCGTTCTAGTATGGGACTGATCAGCAGTGTGTATCAATTCATGATCTGTTTACGATATCAATCTAAACTCAACAATCTCCACAACCCTATACTGATAATTATCATGTGCTCACTAGTGACTGGCTTCAAGATGGATTTCCTAGAGTTCTAATGAGAAGCCGTGACCGGTGATGTTCAACCGTCTCTGTTGTGGAGCATTAACTCCCTGAAGACGGGCGCACAATATCATGGATTGGTTGAAGTTAAACTTTAAACCGTTGGGTGCCGGCACAGTGATATACAAGTTAAGCGTTCGTGAGCAAGACTGAAGGTCCTGCGTTTGAGTCCTAAGTGAGGGATCATGGATGTGCACTAGTGAGGAGTCCCATACTAGGACGAAATGGTCGTCATTAGTGTATTACAATGCTCCCAGATTTTCAATAGTGGTCTAAAATTGGTCTATTCATGATATCAATACTAATGCAACAATCTCCACAACCCTATACACACAGAATTATTTGTTTGATGGCTAACTGTATAACCCAGCATGTGCTTTTTATCTTAGTAATAACTTATCATTTATATTTGCCCGTGTATCAAATTGTTCTTCATACTGATATAATTAGCTGCTTGTTCCAATTTAGGTTGAGACGAATATCTTTCATTTTATTATTATTCATTATTTAAAAAGTTTGCGAATTTGTAGCTGTAAATAGTATCTAAGCACCAGTTGCGAGAGCTCAGATTTAATAGAGATCGATCAGGTTTAGTCAACAATACTAATAACTTGAAGTCACTAACTTTTGGATTAACATTTATTTTTACATGGTTTCATTCATTCAGCAACAACCACTACTTAGTTTCAGAGAAGAACTTTCAGTCTTCAAACGTTTATACTTTATGTTAGCGTAAAACAGTTTTTACTACATTATAATTAATTAACAGCTAGTTATGGTAAATCTAGTTATATAAGCGATAATACCTGAATACTTAGTTGTATCGTGCGTCTACACATCTGTTTATTTAAAATTAGTGTGGAGTTCAATAAAACCTTTTAATGGATTAAATTTAATGATGAAATGGTCAAAGTAGACTTTACTGGTAAACTTCAATGACATTTTAAATGACTTTATGAAAGTAGTGGTAATTTTTAGTCCATCAGAATAGACGTGAAATGTATGAATACATTATAAGGCAAAAGCACTAAAAACGTTACTGTTTGAATGACGAGCTTTAGTTGAGATTCAGAGTTAAGAGTTTGATTTAGGATTAGGATTTAGGCATCCAATTGAGTTATAGTTAGGATTTTGATTGAAGATTAGCTCTAAGAGTGTTGTTTAGAAGTGAAGGTAGTAAGTAATGTGGAAAAGAGGTTTGTATGCAAACGGATGAGCACACATGTCACTAACATTTCTTTTTCTCTTAACTGCCAAACACTTTTAAGCTCCTTACAAAACTTCATAAATCATGTAACCTCATGCTTTATCAATTCAATGTTATTATAACTGAATATTTTTAGATTTTTCACATTTCTGACTTAGTTGTCAATGTAATTTAAGCTATCCTTCATAGCAGTGTGTATTTTTCACAAAAATCCAAGAATCATTAAAATAAATCTCATTAGTAATTCAAAAACAGTACACTTTCAACGAAGGAACTATATAATTAATCTTGAGATGATAGAGATTTTCATTGAATTGGTGCTTTTTTCTTGATCTACAAACAGGTTAGATGCTGTCGGGAATACACTAAACAGAGTAACTCTTTGTGAAATAACTTATATTCCTGATATACCAAGTATAAAGTAATGCATTTCGAATAAAATATCATAGAATGTGGTTTTATTGTAAAACATTTCTGTAACATTAAAGAGGAAAAATATATTTATAAAAGCTTGGATCAGATCGCCAGGTGAAAAGGTTGAATTTTACAAATACATTCTTCCTCTTTAATGTCTCACATTAACTCGGCGCCCAAATACTGTGAAGCTATTCGATCAAATTTGGATGAAAGGTCTTATAAATTTCTGGAACAGTTAAAAATGTAATTTACGTTTACTATCCAATTGATGTTTGTCATAAAGTTGAGATCATCACTTTCTTTATTGTGAATCATTAAAATTTACTTTTTTTTAGGTGGATGATTTAAAGATTCAATTTTGGTTTTATCACAAAGTAAAATATAGTTAACAGTTAAATATCTTTTAAATACCGACAAGAGAGGTTATTAACAAATTTAAAATCTATGCAGTCAGTAACCAGATTTACAAAACTAACATTGTCAAAAATCGGAATAGAACAATGAAGAAGTAAAAGAAACGAACTTTACTCTGAGATATTTAAAATTATCATTGTTATTGGTTAAGTAAATATAGAAACTGTCAGCTTATACTTGAAATTTGGTTTAGTTTCAAGTCAGAGAAGTTAAGCACGTAAATGAAACTGAGTTATGTTAATGAATTGATAAATCTACCATGATATGATGTAACTAGTTCAGTTAGTCAGAGTGCATATTTTTATGATATGATCTATCTCACTTTACACTTTTCTGGAGCCTAATTCACGCAATAGGGAAGGTGTAGTAGTAAATAAAACTTACATCAAGTGATGAAGAACATGAAGTTATATTAAATTTGAGCTAAGCTTTAATTCTTTGCTTCTGCATAGCCGTATCTGGCCAGACAAAAATATTATGACATACTGTATATTTTGTATCCATTTTAGAATAAATCCAGTTTGATTATTTGAAATAAAAACTAGATTTGTGAAAATAACAAACAGTTTCAAGCATGCATGGAAGTGATAAAACAAACCAAGTTAATTTTCAAAAAAATATCACTGATCATTACATTATTAAAATTTATGAATAATATTTTAGTTTCGTTTGATACGTAATTCTAGAGATCAACTAGATCAATTAGAAAACTTCATGGCAAAAAGCCTCTAATATATATAGTAGACTTTATTACGATTTATTCATTTAAAGTAGTAGTTATTTATATTAACCTGCAGGTCTTGAAGTGAGTGCACCACTTATAAACGAATGCATTATTCAGAAATTCGAAAAAGTGTTATTAGTTATAGTGAAACATTTGAAAAAGCTGAAACTTTAAGTATTGCTCTATATAAGACAATTATTGTATTGTCCTGAGTGTAAGCTTTCATTGAATCTACTAACAGTTTATAAATCTTCTACTATTCAAATAACTAAGCATCCAGTACTCATTTCCAGTAACAAACATTATTTTATTAATGGTGTCCGGTAAATTCAGAAAATTTCTAATGAGAAACATAGTTTCATTGTTATTAAATGAAATAAACACCGCATATTATGTTACTTCCAATAGAACCAACGAATTAATTACTTCATAGAGAAATTAAAGAATTCAAATTTATATTAGTCAGAACATTGACTTTCAAGTCTTGCTCTACGTATCTATGATCCGATATAAAAATATTATCTATATTAAACATTGTAGATAGTTTTCTGTTCCAGTATTAAACTCAGGATACTAATCAAAGTGGTAAGTATTTCTTTATCATTATTAACACTACCTTTATTACATTACAGGACTATTTTTTTTAAATAAAAAAACATTCATTCTTTTAGTACATTCGGATCATTTTCAATTCTTTCAAATGTGTAATCACATTTTTTAACTGACTGATATTAATCTATACTACTTGTAATTACTACTAATTTATATTCAATTATTTCTTATTAAGAAGTCAGCTAATGCTTAGTTCTATGATCTTTTGATAATCAATCATCTCGAACTCAGTGTATTTCTTTACAACAACAACTTTCGTTTTTTTTTCTTTGATTCCATTAATTTTGTTTAAATCTTCATTTGAAACAATAATGCATTTTCATGTTTATTATTATTATTATTATTGGCTTTATTCAATATTATATTTTGGTAAAATATAGAATTCTCAGCACAGGGTATTTCAACAAGTTTCTTACAAACAAAAAAAACAGAAACAAAGACAAAAAATGTTTTAAAACAATCTGAAAGACTGTACAACTTTTCAAATTAGAGACATGTTAAGAATGCAGGTTATTGACTAGATTAACTCTAACAACCTGTTCGTCACAGAGTATATTTGCTAGGTAAGGTGTTATAGAACTTTTATACTTTTGCTTGAGAACTTGGATTTTAATGTAATTACTTCTCGTTCTACCAGAAGATATACAAGGAGAAAGATAAGAGTGAAGGGGATGGCTAGTATCTGATAAAATAATACCTGCCAGGAGTTTGCATGACTTTAGATGTCTATCCACAACCATATTAATTATGACCTCGAAAGATTCACCACACACCTTGTTAACTGCCTTCAGCACTCTCCACAATACAGCAGTAAAGTCTTTTCTCAAAAGCCCGGGAAAGAATAATGGAGAAGAGTAAAGAATAATAGGTAATATGCAAGAATTGAAAAATTGTAAGAGTAAATAACGAGTAATCCCAAGAGCATGCAACCTCTTTATGTAATAAGTCGGACAGAAAACCTTCTTCGATAACAATAAAACGTGAGAAGACCAACAGAGATCAGAGGAAAAGGTAACACCAACATATTTGATCTTCGACACTGTGTTTACCAAAGAGTCTCCAATGACACAATCATTATGGGATCTCAAAAT